AAGGACAAATACTGTAAAAGATCATTATTGTAGAATACACAATGAGGATCCAAGAGGGAGTGGGAGGGAGCAGAGAGGTGAGGATGGGCGTGGTGAGGGTGTGGTTAATCACAGAGTTGCACAATTTGATGGGAAGAGGGAGGGGGTGGGTAAAGGAAATGGGAAAGGTCCAGTGTGAAAAACAGCATATAAGAACTTTATATAAGTAAGCCAGTATAAAATAAAAATTTTATTTAAATAATAAAAAAAGAACACTAGAAGAAAAAGAATATCTTTCCTAATAGAGTGAAAATAGACAGAGGCTCCCCATTCACTGTGAGGGGAAAGGAATCCTTAGAAAAGCAAGGGAGGATCCTTTTCTAGGGTGAGAGATTTGGGGTTTCCTCCATTTTTTAGGGAACGTAAGGGCACCTTACGTGTTAAAAGCAAGGGCTATTCCTTGGAGAAGGACACGATGCTGGGAAGGGTGGAGGGTCAGCAAAGATGAGGAAGACCCTCGACCAAGGGGCTTGACATGGTGACTGCCGCAGTGGTCTCTAGTGTGTCTGGAAGTGTGAGGATGGCACAGGATAGAACAGGGTTCAGACCTTCTGTTCCCAGGGTTGCTATGAGTTGTACGTGACTTGATGACACACAACAACAACAACAACTAGCAAGGACCAAGCATGAAAGAAAGAAGAATGCCATGTAGTACAGAGACCTTTCTCACTTCTTGTCCCCCTAAAGCAGTCAATTCTTCTTACACAAATATTCACTGTGAATCTGAGTACCAAATATACAAACAGGCAGCACAGAGAGAGCTATCATGACTGTGTGGAACTGAGCCAAAGGCAAGGACTGAGTAGAACTGAGCAGAAGGGTGGCTGATCTCTCTAGTTTGCAAGCGTGGGGATTTCTCTGTTTTCACCCTGCAGGGCCTGTTGTGGTTAGGGACCTTCGCGTTGGCTCCAGTGTCCAGGGACTCTACATCCAACAGCACAGACTCCTGGCATGCGCCAGCCTCAGAACCTCTGCTGTGTTCATTATTCTAGTCGCTGTGTCCCTCCGTCTCCCTGAGGGTCTTCCTATCCTTCACTGACCTTCTCCTTTTCTAAGCCTGCTGGCGTTGTCCAGGGACTAGCTTGCTGCCTCTGAGAACAAGTCCAAAGTATCTGAGATGAAGTCTCACTCTCCTTGCCTCTAAGAAGTGCCCTGACTGCACTTGTGCCAAGACAGATTTGCTTGGGTTTTTTTTCCCCCCCCATGAGATTTTCAACTGCAAGTTCTAGATCCTGGAGATTCCTTCAATCTGAGCAAACCATGTCTTTGTTGACAAGGACACTCTCATCCTGCATGAGCTACACCCTCTGAAAGCCCACTTAGAGGGTCAGCAATGAGTTGGCTCCAACTTGATGGCCCTTAACAATGCAACCAATGAGTGGGGAGTACTGTTGGCACGAAATACTCGTGTATTGGGTTGCTAATTAAAAGGCTGGCAGTTCAAATGCACCCTGAGATAACTCAGGAGAAAGGCCTGGCTATCTACTACTGAAAGGCCAGGCGTGCAAACCCTGTGGCACAGTTCCACGGCAGCACTAGGAGCCACTGTGTTGGCACCTAGTTCATTGTCAATATCCTTCTGACTTGGCTTGGCCTCCACGATTCTATGCTTGGGATGAGGATGGATCCCTGGGGGCCATCTGGGAGTTTCATTTAAAGGACCAAGGAGCCAGGGGTGAGAGTGAGGGTCTCAAGGGAGAAGAATTGGAGGCAGCAGATTGGTGTCCATGTCTGAGGACAGGCCTGGGTAATGGCAGGGAGACACAGAATTTGGTATCCTGCGTTCCAGTCCTTGCTCTGGTGGCTGAGTGGTAAGGAGCTGTGCTGCCAACCCAAAGGTACATGGTTTGAATCCACTAGCTTCTTAATGAGAAAATGGGCAGTCAATTTCTGTGCAATTGATTCCTCTGAAAAACTCCTGGAGGGTCAGCTATGGGTCAGTTCTGACTTGACAGTACACAACAACAACAACAAATATCCACCTGTTACTGTAAGACCTTCCTCTTAAACATGTCTCCTTTTCTGTACTGAGATGGTCAACTAGACCACACAGTCCAAAGTCCCTGGGTGGGTCACAATTTGCCCCTTCTGCCTTGCCTTTGGGAGGAGAAAAAGAGGCTTCTTCACCTGCTCAGACTGGTCCCCATCAGGGAACGCTGTGACCAGAAAGATGAGCTGAATGGGAAGCTCACGGGGGCTTCCCACAGGGATGGGCATGGGGGTTCCATTACCTCCCAGTTTACAGAGGACATGGAGTCTCAGAGAGGTTAAGCCCTTTATTGAAAATCCTTTAGAACCCTGGCTTCTAGGTGAGCCCAAAGCCCTGGCCTTTAGCCTTTCAGGAAGGAGGCTGGGGGTTGATGAGGACCTTCCCCCACGCTTGCCTCTTTGGAAGTCCACCTAGTGCCTGGGAGGAAGGTAGCTTTGTTCTCTGAGGATCAGGGAGACATGAGCAAACCTTTCTACTTTACTAGGAAGCTGGCCACAAGTGATGAAAGATGAAGAGAAATTCCAGCCGGGGCAGTTTAGACTGGGCACTCGCTCATAGTTCCCGGCACCCTGCACCCACATACACATGCATGTACACAGCCCTCCTCTACTCCCACCAATGCCCCTTCCCTTAATCATCCTCTCCCAGGGCTGGTGCGATGGCCCACGTACAGGGAGCCAGAAAAGAGCTCAGCAGAGAGTAGTGTACACCCGGGCTTGGGTACTCCACAGCCCCACAGCCTTGGGAGAGCTCTGCTTAAGGAGTGATGATGAGAAACTCATCTCCTGGGCCAAGGAGTGGGAAGGACCATTGTAACCAGGAACTTCCAGGAGAAACAGAATTCTTCCCAACCCTCAGCTTCTTCCCAGGCAATGTGCCAGTGGGGGCCTAGAAAACATCTAAAAACTGGAGTCTGCATCTTTGCTGTATTAGCCTTAGTTTCTTCTTCAAAGTGGGAGCAGTAGGTTCCTCTACTCACCCCTGCAGGGTCAACAGAGATCATGCAGGTTAAACCCTGGCAGGGAGAGACCTGGACTACAGAATGGTGGTTACTGAAGTCCTCTGGGATCTTGGGGTGCCTTAGCCACAAGTGCAAGGAGGAAAAGGCTGTAGGTTGGGGTGTGGAGGTAAAGAGACAGGGCCCAGGGCAGAGGGGAGTGGGGAAAGGGGAGCAAAGCCTCCCCAGCTTTGGAGCTTTAAATTACCTTTTAGGAAAAGGGAAACAGAGAAGGTGAGTGTCTGCCCAGATGACACAGAGCTTGTAGGTGGACTGAGATTTCTGTCCTTCTCTGCCCAGAGATTAAGGGACGTTTTTCTGCTGCATTACTTCAGCAGCTCTGGAGGGTGCCTGGATGAAGCCCCTGGGGAATCCCTTGGAAAAGGGAGGGTGTGTTCTGAAGGGTCATGTTCAGCCGGAATGGCTGGGATATCAGCCTATAGTCTAGGTGGCCAGCCCTTCCTGTGGGGGGGTCTGCCTGTGTGAACAGCCCCTGAGTGAGCCTGGTGGGTAGACACAATGAACCAGTCTATGTTATGACAACATGCTTTGGGGACAGTGCAGGGAATACACCCGCTGGAGGTGGTGGGTTCTGTTCTGGGCAAACCCGCCTGCCATTCAGGCCATTGTGTGGTTGCTTTACAATGGCAACCACCACAAAGCTCTTGCTGGGCCCAGAGCTGGGCCTCTGTGACTCAGGCAGAGGGGAGGGTGTGCCAGGGTGCCTTCCCAGCTTGCTCTGAGAGGGAGGAGTCTGAGCCCTTGGGGGTTGCTCACAGGTCCCCATCCCCACTTAGGACTGGGGTGTAGGAGGGGATCACCTCACTCAACTTCAAAGCCTTCTCATTGGGGCAGGCCCTCTTCAAAGTGGGAGCATCTGAACAGATAGTTAGGTAATCTCATATCCTGGAGGGCACTCTTCCACGGACACTGGATGATCTCTGACCCTAAGGTTTTTTATTAGGAAACCTCCAACTTCCCATCCAAGAATGTACCCTGCTGGACAACGTAGGAGATCCAGGACTTTTTCTCTGTAGTGGAGAGAACCTGCTCCCCCAACACACCCCCAAACTGGCCTCAGTCCTCCTCTGATGTCGACGGGCTTTCCCTGGACAGAAGCAGCCCAAGCTGACCCTCGCAGTGACCAATAGGCCTGCAAACTCCCCGTTTTAGCCCAGAAACAGACCTCCCCACCCCCTCACTCTGTGTTTCTGCTTCTCCCTGCCCTCTGCATCCATCCATTGCACTAAATCTCCAAACAAACGTGGTCACTCTGCTTTTGTCCTCTTCCTCCCGCTGCCAGGGCTGCCCTGTCCTCTCTTCTTAACCTCTGCCAAGCCTCACACCTCCTTACAGGTGTTAGAAATACCTCTCCATCTGCAGCCCTCCAAGACAGCAAACCTCTCTGCCTGACTCCCCCAGTGACAGGACACAACCTTGTCCACCCACCGGAGACTCCTGGGTGCCCTGGGCTGTCCCTTGCTTATGTCAGGTGCAAGTAAAACCCTCTCATGAATTGGTTGCAGGAACCCTGGTGGCACAGTGGTTAAACACTTTGGCTGCTACCCCCCACCCCCACCCCAAGTTCTTGCTTTGAACACTCGCCACTCTGGGGGAAAGCCGTCTGCTTCTGTTGAAGTCTGCAGCCTTGGAAATTTTATGGGGCGGATCTTATGGGGTTTCCATGAGCCGGAATCAACTCAATGGCAACAAGTTTGGTTTTCGATTGAATGAATAGGTGCCAGGGTGCGCAGGCAGAGGCAGCATAGAGTGAGAGAGAGAAATCACAGCTCAATTATCTATGAGCTTTGCAAGGCAGCCATCAGGCGGACTGAGAAGCAGTTGCTTGCCTCCCCAGGAAACCTTTGCCGCCCCGGCAGGGGGCTTGGGAAGCGTGAGCCACCTGCAGGCGCGCCTCCCTCCTCCAGGCAGTTTGTTCACCTCCTCCTTTGGCCCCGGCCCCTCCCCGCTTACCTGGATCACACGTGAGAAGGAGGCTCAGAGCCAGAGCCAGCAGGTGCTGAAGCCGGTGCTCTGGGGCTGCAGGGTGCCCCCGGGCTGCAGGGTACCCCCTGCCCATCCTCCTGCCCCGCAGGGCTGTGCTCGGAGCTGACCGCTCAGGGTGCCCTGAGCCTCGCCCCCTGCGTGAGTCCTTCTGACTGAGCTGGGCCTGGACTGGTCCTGGCTCTGGGGAGGGTGGTGAGGACACACCTTGCCGAGCCTGTGAGAGGGGCAGGGCCTGCCCTGAGGGGAAGCAGAGGGTGTTGCGGTGACCAGCAAAGGTTAACCAGCATTATTCAGTCCTCAGAGCCACAGCTCTGGTGACTAACCTCTATAGACCGATACCCCATGAGGAGGGGCTGGAGGGACCCCGCCCATGAGAAGCCTGGCTCTCGAGTCCATTGCCACACCAAAGGAGCCCCTGAGTGGACCTGAGGGAGCTAGGCAGGGGTCTAGGCTTTGGACCATCCCTAGAAGCCCCCAGTTCCTGCCTGATATACTATTTTTTTTGCCCAGGGGCTGCCAGCCTAGAGCCTGGTAGATACTCCTGTGGGAGGCAAGGCAGCAGCTGTACCTCGTGGCTGGCTCTGGAAGGTTCTGGAATGTGCGGGAGTGGAGGGGAGGCTGCATTCTCACCTGGAGACTCCCTAGGTGCCAGGGACGCTGAGGGCTGGGTTTGTTCTATTCTTGGGGGGTCCCCAGACCACCTTCTGCCTCCCCTGTTCTTAGGAGACAGTCACTCGCTCCCTAGTCAAGCCCCACAATTGTCCTACCAGCTACAGAGTTGTGTGTGAGGGGCTGGCTAGTTCCTGGGTTCTTCCTCCTCCTCAATAATCCCCAAGCGTTTATCTGCTGTTCATCATCCCTGTCCTGGGCTATTTCCGCCAGTGACCTGGAAAAGGTGTCTGCCCTGCCAGCCCATCATACCCCGTCAGCCCATCATACCCCGCCAGCCCATCGTACCCCGTCAGCCCATCGTACCCCGTCAGCCCATCATACCCTGTCAGCCCATCGTACCCTGCCAGCCCATCGTACCCCGTCAGCCCATCATACCCCGTCAGCCCATCATACCCCATCAGCCCATCG